GATTCTGCATTTTATTACTGAAATACCTGTCCTACACACCCACCCCACAATAAAAATCTAACCCATGACCCCTGCCCTGCCTCCAGCCAGCCGTGCCACCCGCCAGGCACAAGTGCTCAGGACGTCAGCCCACAGGCCATTGCGGAGTGTGCCCTCACCAGGGCCTCTTCAGGAACATGGAGGAAGGCGGGTGAAGGTGCCCACACTTCACCACCGCCCTATTTGAGGGCCTTGGCCTCTTGCTCATAGGCCAATTCCATCTCCTCATCATCTGGACAGGTGCAGGCAAATTCTTTCCAAGCATAAGCATTGCTCAAGTACCGATGCACTCTCCGAAAGGCCTCGGGGATGGTGAAGCCTCTGTACTTCTTACAGACCACCTGTACTATGTGCACCTTTGGCACCAGGTTGCAGTCACCCAGGGTGAGCTTGTTGCCATCCAGAAATTTCCTCCAAGAGATGCCCTCATCTTCCACACTGGTCTCATCTACTTCTTATGGTAATGGGACTATCAGGTAATTGTCTAAAACCTTCAAGGCTTTCAGCAGCCCCTTCTCCAGGTTATCACTGAGCATTGGGTCTGAATTCTTGATAGGCAAAAAATTTGGTAAAGATGTCAAACCCCACAGTGTTGGACTCAGGGTTCAGAGCTGCCAGCGTGGGGTACTTGGGTGGGCACAGCAAGGCCTCCAGAAACTCCTTGATCTTAGTGTCTGTGTGGACTTCCGTGCCATACAGCAGGAATGGGAGCTGTCCTCCAGGGCACAGTTTCTTCGCGGTCTCTGTGCGCCTCTTGGTGTCCACGGTGGTGACATTGAAGGTGACTCCCTTGAGCCACAGCACCATGAACAGTCTCTGGGAGAAGGGGCAGTTCCCAGTCTTGGCCCCATCACTGCCGGCCTTCATGAACAGCTCAAGTTGGGGCTGCTGCTCGGCCAAGGCTGCATCTGCACCCTTGTTTTGTCTTTTTGAGGCAGGGTTTTACTATGCAGTTCAGGCTGGCCTTGAACTGACTTTGTAGCCCAGGCTGGTTTCATACTTGCAGCCACTCTCCTGCCTCAGTCTCCTGAGTACTGAGATTGTAGGCATGATGTGCTACTATGCCCGGCTAGATTTTTGTATTTTTATGTAGATTTGTATCGGCTACTTAAGTGATTTTTTTTCCTTCTAATTTTCTGACTTGACTTGAGGATATGAATATACACAGGAACTGTTGCTGTTGAGATCTGGGCAGTGGTAACTTTATTAACTTGCATGCCTGGCTATCTTGATTCCCAGTGGTTGCTTGCAGTATTTAAAGTAAGCAACAAGCCTGAGATCATTCCCAAAAGTTTATGATTTAAAGAAGGAAAAGAAAGAGGGTGAGCGTGGAATGGAAACAATGCTGTTTAAATTACAAGCTGCCTGTAGCAGCCCCATAGAGGGCAGTTAACCCAGGTCACTTAAAATATGGTCATAATACCGAGAGTTAAAAATAATTTTACTTGAAAAGGACTTGAACAACTATCAAAAAGTCCAGGTGAACTGAGAAGTACATCAAAGGGATTTCTGGGCTGCATGCTCAATTTCAACTGTCCCTTTGCGGAAGGCCATTGGTTCCATGGTTTTTCCTCCACACTGGGGCCACAT